TGGGTACACAATTCAAAACATATCGGCCTTTTCAACGGCTTTACTGTGATTTTTTAGGACCGTACCCTTGTTCAAAGCAAAAAAACACGCAGCTATTGATCGTTCTTGATCATTTTACAAAATTTATTTTTCTTCAGCCCATGCGATCTGCCACGTCAATAAACACAATCGACTTTCTTCAGAATTATTTATTCTCAACATTCGGTGTACCTCAATATATTCACACCGATAATGGCAAGCAATTTATCTCTAACGAAATGAATGATTTTCTTAAATTGTATGGGATTTCCCACATTAAAACTGCACTTTACTCGCCCCAGGCAAATGCCTCAGAGCGAGTTAATCGTGAAATAATTTCAAAAATCCGCTTCCTTTTGAAAAAAGAAATAGACCATACGAACTGGGATAAATGTATTCCAAAAATATTGACTGTGTTAAGAAGTGACTATCATTCATCTATAGGCTATAGTCCTTATTATGCTGTATTTGGCCAAAATATGTGTCTACATGGTACATCATATTCTTTATTAGAAAAACTTAATATGATGGAAGATGATACTATAGTTCAACACAACGATCGCATCAGCAAAATTAGGGAAAGAATATCGAATAACTTAGATGATGCGCATGAAAAAGCAAATAAGGTATATAACCTGCGGTCGCGTAATGTATCATTTATCCCAGGACAAATTGTATTTCGTAAAAATCACACTTTAAGCAATATGCAAAAAGGGATAAATTCGAAAATGTTACCAAAATATATCAAATGCAGGGTAAGGAAAAAAGTTGGAAACTGCCTATATGAGATAGAGAGTATGGAAGGAAAAATAATAGGGACATTCCACGGCAGCGATCTTAGAACCTAATCAATTGCAGGTAATGCCAGTATGATATTGCCCGGCTTCGTGGGTCGAGCCACACGCTTGAGGTTAAAGTAAGAAAAAAAATCCTTTTTTCTTTTCGTTTAACGGATAAATCCGCTGAACGAAGCAGATTTGTTATAGATTTTTTTTTCTGTCCTGCTTTTTAACGAAAACCAAAATTGGTTATCCACCTATTTCAACTACTTTAAGTATCTATAAAATACTTTTTCCAGGGGATTACAATATTTTCCAATACTATATTTTAAAAATTGAATCTTAAAGATTATTTAACGGGATAAACAGGCAGTTCTAGCAGTTGTCTTCAAACTATGACATATATCATATGTTACGCATATTGTTTATAAACAATTATAATCAGCATCAGTTGTCATTCATTGTCACAAACTATTTCCGTTTGCACTCTACTAAAATTATTTCTTTTCTAAGTTGACCTCGTGGGATTCAGATCAAAATTTTGGAGATCAATCCTTAGAACTTGGCTCCATAAAAAAAAAAAAAAAAAAATAATTAGAGCCATTAGACTAGCTTCTAAATTCAGTTAAAAACAAATAGTTTACTCAAAAAGGAATATTTTGTCAAAACAAGAAAAGTTAAATTATTCTCCAGACAAAACAAGAGAGAAACGACCCAACTGAGAAGGTAAGATAAATGTGAGTTAAAACCAATTAAACAGCAAGAGCTGTATATAGTGAGAACTATTCTGCCATATGTGAAATCTTACATAAATTTTTGTACATTTATTACCAGCTTGGAGGTTTCCAATCTGTGGGCAAAATTTCAATAAGCTCGCAGTTGGAATTAAGGCGAACCTATTTACATCTGGTCCACGACTTACCATACCCGCCCATCCATAGCATACAATCAGCTCTAATAATATTTAGAAATAGACATAACTAAATAAGTTGAGTTAACTCACCTTGTCTGGTGCAACACCTCTTCAAAACAACAAAAACTTCCATTGGACATCATTCCAAGAGAGACTGAAAGGCATATAATCCATCTTTGGGAAAACACCAACAATAACCCTTAACGAGTTTTGCACATGTCTCCTCTTCAAGCAATCACAACAACAATAATCTAATGCAGGTACCGTATTTTAATTGGACAATAATATCACAAAGTACTGATTTCACTAGATCCATAAATGTTAAATATAGCCGAGAAAATCAATTTTTAACTTTATAATCATTCACCAAACAATTTAAATAATTACTACCCGAAAACTATTACTTTTCCTTGTTAACTAAATAGACACTCCTTATCTTTACTTTGTCAAACACCGGTTTTGTTTATAATTTCTTCCAAATCATCTTATCTTCGTTTCTCTTATCTGCTTGCTCTTCATATTTCATTTTATCTGCGTAATCAATTTCTTTAAATTGCCAAAAAAATAGAATAAGAAGAAGCATAAGATCAATTAGAAGAAACTTATAATCAAAACAAAAGCAAATAGAAAATAAGAATCAAAGAACTTTTTTTTTTTGCACTAAAGGAATTCAAAAGACAGAAAACAAAATTCTCGCATGCGATAAATTTTAGAAGTATTGCAATGTTAAAATTATTATATAAGAAAACAACTTAATTATTATGTAAAATTGTAATTATTATTATTATTATGTATTTTATCCTTTAGATTTAAGAACATAATCAATATGAATTGCTAATTCTAATTATATAGAGGAATATGATTATATGAAGTACCTAAATGCCCAAATTTTGATAGTTCAAATATGGGGTAATCTTAACTAAAATAGAGTGAAGGATTACCAAGGATGGGAAGGGGTAAAACACTCAGATGACATAATATCTCGTCATCAAAGGTAGGTATTTGCTATGGATATTGTTCAAGAAAAAAAAAAGATATACTGCTCTTTTAAAGAATTATTTGGTGATCGTATAGGCATGATGATTCTTATACTATGTTGTCGTGTTCCGTCTGCTTTAAACCAAAGAACCTCGCCATTCCGACAAGAGCTAGTCGATGAAAACCTAGCATGCCACTCAGGTCTAGAAGCAGATGGCTGACCAGAAATCGGCACGTAACACAATACAAAGTAATCTCTAAATCTGACTAATAAATGTTCGTAACCCAATTCAGCCTTGACTTGAGCAGTAAGTTTTGCTCCCGATTCAGCGGCACAAAGCTCTAACCGTGACAAAATGATCTCCTTTATTGGTGCTATTTTCGATTTTGAGCCTTCCATCTTTTTGCATAGCCAGAAGATGTATCACAGCTCTGTATGCCTTTTATTAGGCGTTCACAAATGTGTGTATATCAATTTATGTTGGTGTCCCTCCATTGAATATGTATCTGCGTAATTTGATATCATTAAATATTTCCAAGCTTTCTCGGAACGATAACCAATATGCTGCCTTTTCTGCTGGGAGTTCCTCGTCCCAGCCTATTTTGTTCCTCCACAGCTGCTGAATAAAGATCTATGCTGATGAGACCACAGGACCAGTAATTGCAAATGGGTCAAAGAATCTTGTCAAATCAGACGTGCATTACTTTTATATAACAATGTGGAGGATATTGAATGTTCTACCCGGCCGAACCTAATGTATTTTACTTAAAAATAAAAATGGAAAATTCCTAAATTAAAATAACGAATGAACAATTCACCTCTTGAAAGGGGATTTCGCAGAGGTACCGTTGCAGATGATTTAAAAGGGCAATGCAAAATATTTTTAAATGCTTTTGGGCCACCAAAAAGATCTAGTGATGGATGAAAAAAACACAGTAAATTCTATTTTAGAAAAATAAGTTGTTGGACAAAGTTCTTTTACAGGTTTGGCGGGTTTTAAAATGTAAAGTAAAAAAAGGTTACCAACAAAACCGAGTGTACGGCTACTGTGGAATATTATGCAGCTGACACTCAGCCCCTTAGAGGAAGATGTGGCTAATCTGCTCCAATTTCCGAAACGAATAAATCCTGTTCAGGGAGTGAAATGTCAAAGCCAATACCAAGAATGCGATATAGCTTTTGAAAAAGCTGACCGTTTTGTTTGGCATGTGTGCTATAAGGGAAAGACTGCTAAGAGTGAAATCCGAAAATTGGAACCCGCAATCCCCTTTGAAAACAATGCCAAATAAGTTTACGCCAAATTAAAATAGTTATGCTGGTCTTCTTTATTTGGCACGTTCCACCCACACCAGTAAAATCCGTTTTCTAAAAAAAAAATGGAAATTGCAGATCAGCCTCCGTTATTTCGAATTTTATCCATTGTGGACAAACTGTATCTTCCATGACATCCAGAGTCGCAGACAGAATTTTCGACACGTCTGGCAGTTCTAGTCACAAGTTCAAATCATTTCCCACACTCAGCTGTTACGGTCCCTGATTTTAAGTGTTCGGTACGGAAATAACAATACATTAGTTGGGAAATAGATAACCTTGAAGTCGTTACTTACTTTTCATCCTGTAATGCAAAGATGTTACATTTCTGCCTCACAAGTCTTCATTTCTTTACCAAATTCCTTCTATTTTCTTCATCACACACTTACTCACTCAAAAACTTTAAAACATTTCTCAAAAAAAAAAAAAAAAAAAAAAAAAAAAAAAAAAAAAAAAAACAATAAATAAATAAAAATTGGAAACAAAACAAATCGGTTGTTACAAATATTAGAGATGACAAATGCATATTATCGATAAACAGTCGACACCGTTATGAAGTATCATATTAATGTCGACGTCCATAAGTGATGGCATCCCAGAAGCCATTTTTATACCCTCCACCTTGGAAAGGAGGGTATATTAACTTTGTCATTCCATTTGTTACATACCTAATTATTCGTCGTAGACCCCATAAAGTATATATATTCAAAATCAGCATAAAATTCATAAGTTTGGACAGTAAAATATTATATTTTTTATATAGGTGGAAATTAATTCCCACTTTTATGTTTACAAAAACAATAAAATATTATATTTGGTCTTAGAGTTTTCAGAACAACAGGTTTACTCTATTTTAAACAGAAAAAACAGAAGTTCACGACTTTTCAAAAATAAAACCAAATCAAAATAAAATAAAAATATAAGGAAACATCAATATATATTTATTTAGCATAGCAGCGGTGATTAAAGCTCTACATACATATTCAAAAAAAAAACTTACAGTTCTTCTGTCCTAAGTAATGGTGTATTAAATAGCGTGACATAGTTTCTTGGTCTTGAGATTGATACGTTGAATGGAACCTTGAAAAGAGGAAGAGTTATTAATACCATCAAAGATTTTATGCTTTAACTTAATTAGAAATAAAATACAATTTGAATTAAAAGATGAAATATTTTTATTTGTTGGCTTCTTTTCTAAGTTCTGAAACTTCTTTATACTAAAATATGATACAAAACAATACCAATCTTACTTTTCAAATACAATAATCATGATTCTATTAGAATTATATTTACTTTGTTAAAAATTATTAAATCAATATTTCATTGTAATAATATTTCTGTACTTTTCTATTTGTGTTAACACATGGTTGTCTTCTGTATAACAAGTTTGTTAAAATGTTTTCCAAATAGTGTTTCTCTAGCAGACTCTAATAGGGTTTGTAGCATGGATTTCATTTAGGCGTCTTGCTCGAAGCTTAACGAGAATCATTATCATCTTTGGAAGTATAAGATAGAATTGATTTTGCGAAGAGAAGGCGCTTGGAAATGTGCAATGTGCAGTAAAACAATCATTGGACACTTTAAAATCTCATCATGAAGGACGCTCTTGGTAGAAGGGTGAGAATTGTTAGGAAAGTATGCGCAATGAAATTCAATATGGACAATACAATGGCCACCGAGATGAAAACTTTATATGAGAAACTCGAATTGGTAAAAATTTTTCTGAACGTTGGGCCGTTGCAATGTTGCTCAGCATTCGTTAATACAATAGCAACAGCGTTGGAGACGCGTAAAATAGAAGAGTTGATTGTGAGTGTAGTAAAAATCAGTTTATCATCGTCAACAGAAATTTGCAATGTCAAATATAGTCTCAAAGACATTAAAGGTTTTTCAAAGTCGTTAAGCTGATATCAGTGGGAAACTCTGCTATTATTGGTATAAATTAGACTACATTGTTTATTATTTTTTTTTTTTTTTTTTTTTTTGTTAGTTAAAATTCAATGTGTACATTATAATATTATTATATAATCAGAATAACAAAATAAAATTGATATATATATATATTCACTTTTGCTGTTAAAAGTTGTTTGCCAATTTGGCAATTTTTAAATTTTTTTAAGGCAACAAATGTCTTCATCCCAAAAAAATATTTCTCGGCTTATACGATGTCTATAATTTAGGGCAGTTTCTATATAATTGTATAATCTTTTCCATCGAAATCCTATATGTACCAAACATTTTGTACATACTTTTGAGTGCGGCTGAGGCACTGGGGAAATCTAACCATTAAAAATAAATACTTCAAAATTGTCAATTTCCCAGTGGTCATAAAATATCACATATGTACAATTCAGTGATCTTGTGCGCTGTCGCATACGATAATGGGTAGGATAATAAAGGCAATAACCCACACACACAGATATCGATGCGCCAAGTAGGTAGCCAAGATCACTTGAATGAAGGGACACGCAGCCATGTAATGTTTGCTTTTAAATCTAATAATAGATAAGAATAATTGTGTGGCTGCGATTAGGTTAAGATAGATTAGTTTTTGTAGCACTTAAGAAAAATATGTTTGAAATAAAACTAGAATTGAATCTACACCCAAGCGAAGCGGTCGTATTCTTTTCTCGTCCTCTTACATTTGGTCAATCGAGCCTTCACTTTTTTATAAAGTGTAAAGGACTAACGACAGCAAAAGAGAAAATTGTAGGAGTTTTCCCCCACCAGTGGTAAGAGACTCTCTGCAAGTAAATTTAGCTATTCTTCAGAAGAAGAGGAGAATTTCTACAGAAAAGAAAGTCCGTTGAGGCATTTTAAATGTAAGACGATAGTGGCATTTTAAAAATAACCGAAGGGATTAATTAAATAAAAAAGCCATAGGGGCAAAAACAAAGTGAAAAGAGGGCAACAAAAGTCCCAATAAAATGAAATATACATATATATTAGTTTGGAAAGAGGACATCAAATTGTCTCAAGTGGAAAAGAGCAAAAAATAGAAAAAAGCTAAGAATATAAATACAAGAATTTAAAAAGGTTTTGAAAAGAGGACAAATAGTCCCATCTTAAACATTTAAATTAAAAATGTATAAAGAAATGGAAGAAGCTTTCACCACTTTGGCAGACTATTTCCAGTTATTAACGTCGACGTTACACGTCGCAATTACACAAACTTGGACATCGATAAAGAAATCGAAGATTCGATGAAACCTCCATTACGATGGATACTCTCGCTGAAATGTGACTATTTAACATGGGAAGAGCAAGTGGAAGAAAACAGACAACTTAACTATGTCGAAACAAAGGAAGATTACGACAGAATTAGAAGATGGTTTTCACGAACAAATGCAAGCCTATGAAAAGCCTATGAATTGCGTTCTCAACTAATAATCGAAGTGGAAAAAAGTGAAATGATATTGAGAAAAGCGAAGGCCCACGAAAAATATCTGCTCGCCAAATCTGAAGAAAACCTGCGGGCCAAAGATGAACAATTCGAAGAAAAACATCGCGTTCAGAAAAATTAACTGCGACGTCTTAAAACGAAGTTAGAGAAAGTCAATGAAAAATTGGCTAGCTCGGAAAGTGCGCGGCAAGTCTTGGAAGCTGAGAGAGATGACCTGTCCAAACAACTGGCAAATGTAAAAGAGGAACGTAATCCCGTGAAACTCAAACCAATTCGATGATTGGATGAAACTTTTGGGAAATGGAGATCCTCACATCAATTATTAAATAAATTTCCGCCGGCAAGTCCTCAGTTTGAGGAACGGGAAGAAGAAGAACATTCTGGTGTCGTATTAGCGCTGACATACGGAAAACCATTTCGGGAGGAACCTTTCAATTTATTAAAAAAACAATCGATGCAATGGCAATGAGGACGACCGTTTTGTAAGAAAAGTAATAAATAGTCTTATTGAAGAAGAGGAAAGAGAAGAAAAGCCGCCACGCACAGAAGGTCCAAAAATTGTCGACGAATGTGGTAAATTAGCAGGAAAGGAATGCATCGATGAAGTAGAAAAAGCCAAAGAAATGTCTCTGGTTCCGGAAATATATTACCAGAGAGAAATTAATTACAAACAACCAATAACCTTAAGAACGGAACACGAAAAAGCAGAGCGTACCATGGAGCCAATAGCAATCCTTTCCGACGTGAATGATGGCGGTCTGCATCGATGGACTATTAATGCGGTATGGAGAATGAAACCGGCAGATAAAGGTGGTGCTATTGGCGAGAGAGGCTGGATAGAAAAGTGGAGCCGTGTCCAGCAACCGGTTACCTAGGATAATTTATATGATATAATTATTTTCAAATCCATATATCTAAATATTTTTTTATCTCATATTCAAATACAGTCCACTAAAATATACACATTAAGCCGCCCGGGGGAATGTACAAAATATTTTGTACATACTTTTGAGTGCGGCTGAGGCGCTGGGGAAATCAAACCATTAAAAATAATTTTTTCAAAATTGTCAATTTCCCCGTGGTCATAAAATATCACATGTGTACAATTCAGTCATCTTGTGCGCTGTCGCATACGATAATGGGTAGGATAATAAAGGCAATAACCCACACACACAGATATCGATGCGCCAAGTAGGTAGCCAAGATCATTTGAATAAAGGGACACGCAGCCATGTAATGTTTCCTTTTAATTCTAATAATAGATAAGAATAATTGTGTGGCTGCGATTGGGTTAAGATAGATTAGTTTTTGTAGCACTTAAGAAAAATATGTTTGAAATAAAACTAGAATTGAATCTACACCAAAGCTAAGCGGTCGTATTCTTTTCTCTTCCTCTTACACTATATAACCATTTGATATATTTTTTAAGACACTATCTTCTAAATATGTCCTTTCAAAAAATATTCTTCTTATTTCGCTTAAAATAGGGCATTTGGCAATGAAATGTTGCAGAGTTACATAATGAATAATATTTTGTATCAATTTCTCCAAACTTAATCCCATTTAATGGGAGTACATCAGCTCTGGCCTTCATTATAGTTGAAATTCTGTCCAAATTCCATACATTTACCATGTAGTCAATACCAACATCTGGGTTCAGAAAACGATAAAATCTATTTTCACTGGCATATACTATTTCTCTTTTTTCCATATAGCTTCTCATTCTGAGTGGGGCTATCAATGAGTTTTTTAAGGTTACCCATGTCTGCGATATTATACATACATTTGATGTTGAAATATGTTCAATGTCAGCATATGTTTCCATAGCTTTTGCCCAAAAAATTATTTTTTCCCATATTTTTAATGATAGGATGTGTGGCAGCCAATTGATTTCATATTTGTGTACAGTGTTGCTAATGTAATCCAAATGAAGCTGTAAGGTATAGAAGTGGTTATCAGGAACATCGGTTTGTACATTTGGAACATCGGTAAGGACAATATGTAATTTGGTATTGATTCGGGAAGCCTTAAAACTCTTTTGAGAAAATACCGCTGAAGTTTGTCTACTTCTTCAAACCAGCCAAAACCCTATACTTGGGCTACGTAAGACTGAGTTGTTCTACAAACGCTCTGAAAATTTTTCCATTTCCCAACCAATGAAATTTGAGGTTTATTTATAAGTTCCTTCCATGTTGAATTTATACAGTTCTTTGATTTGATGTGTCTATTTTCGACGTGCGTAGAAAATCTCATTTTCGGTGTAATGATGACTTCCAGATAACAATATTCGTTTGGTTGCGATATTTCCATTTATCATTCAGTGATAGGTCTCCACCTTTTTCGAGAACCATTATTTGCGACGTTTGCAAGTTAACTACCATATTCCATTGGGCACAGTAACTTTCCAGCCTTATCTTTTGTAACACTTCTCCATCGTCAACTGGTAAGATAATGTCGTCTGCATATAACAAAACGCGGATATTTTCCTCATCGACATTTAGTCCACCTTCTAAGCAGTCATGAAAACTCATGTAAATATAAAACGAACAAAAAAAAGCTATAACAAACATCCTTGCCGCCCTCCCGTATATGTGCTAAAACCCTCTGAGTCCATACTATTGACCTTGTATTTCCATATATTTTTTCTAGAAGTTTGACTATTCCCATTTTGTGGAGC